CTAACCCAGGAGACAGTGGGTTAGCTGAACAGGTTATAGAAATGTACTTCTGTCCTGGACTCCTGTCTCCTTCCCCAGGAAGTATAGCCTAGCCCTTGTCCCAGAAAGGGCATACCAGGTTTCTGATCCAGAGAAGAAAAGAGAGCTGGGGGACTAGAGGATGTCATCCATCCCCCTGATAGTGCACTGGGCCATGATCCTATTTCTTTTTCCACCCAGGAGAATTTGGGGAAGTGTATCAAGGGACCCTGAGAATCCCCAGCCAGGACTGCAAGACTGTGGCCATTAAGACCTTGAAGAACACGTCTCCAGACGGCCAGTGGTGGAACTTCCTTCGAGAGGCAACAATCATGGGCCAGTTTAACCACCCGCACATTCTGCACCTCGAAGGCGTTGTGACAAAGAGTATGAGGATTGGTCTCCAGGAGTGGGGGTTGGGGGGAGGGGAAGGGGGGGTGAGATCACAGGAAGTGGAGGGAAGCTGTTTGCCAAGGGTAGAAAATCTGGTTCTGGTGGTTTTGGGTGGAGATGGGGATGAAGGCTTCCATGGTGACCTGCTTTGTGTCTCAGGAAAACCCATCATGATCATCACGGAGTTTATGGAGAACGGAGCCCTGGATGCCTTCCTGAGGGTGAGGAGGGCAGAGGACCAGCTGGGAAGGGGGGTGCACCATGAAGCCCTGGGTATTGACTCCTGGTCTGGGAAGAGGCAACCCTGCCCATTCCCTAACCCTCCCCTTCACCCTGCTGCAGGAGCGGGAGGACCAGCTGGTCCCTGCACAGTTGGTGGCCATGCTGCTGGGCATTGCATCTGGTATGACCTACCTCAGTGACCACAATTATGTCCACCGGGACCTGGCAGCCAGGAACATCTTAGTGAGTCAGAACCTGTGCTGCAAGGTGTCTGACTTTGGCCTTACCCGTCTCCTGGACAACAAGGATGGTACCTATGAAACTCAGGTGAGAGCCCTTTACTCACCGTATACACATTTGCACACACTATTTTATGCCATGCATACAGGCACTCCTCTACAACAAATACAGGACGCGTGCTCCTGTGGACACAATGACTTCATGGTGGCCATCCTCCATGCCCTGAAACATATCACTTTTCTGTCCTACATGCCCTATTAGGGAGGAAAGATCCCCATCCGTTGGACAGCACCTGAAGCCATTGCCGATCGGATCTTCTCCACGGCCAGTGACGTGTGGAGCTTTGGGATTGTGATGTGGGAGGTGCTGAGCTTTGGGGACAAGCCCTATGGGGAGATGAGCAATCAGGAGGTGAGCCCGGGTACTCCTCACAGTGGTCTTCTCTCCAAATCCTCCTATGGCTCTTCCTGCACATATCCTTATTTCTTCTTCCTCACCCACAGTTTTTCTGCACTTCTGTCCCCTCTGGTCCCCTTTGCCTCACACCCTGTTCTTACTAGTGCTCAGGGGTGAGGATGAGGGAGGTTAGAGGCTCCTTTGCAATGATCTTGCATGAACAGAGATTTCGTAAGGGCTGCCAGGTTAGCTTGCTACCTCGGGCCTCCCTCGCCTCTCCCTTGCTGTAGGTAATGCAGAGCATTAAGGATGGGTACCGGCTGCCCCCTCCTGTGGATTGCCCTGCTGCTCTCTATGAACTAATGAAGAACTGCTGGGCCTACAACTGTGACCATCGGCCCCACTTCCACCAGCTAAAGACACAGTTGGAGCGATTGCTGAACACCCCCCACACCCTGCGGACCATGGCCAACTTTGATCCCAAGTAACCACGCTGGGGAGGACAAAGGGATTGAGAGGGCAGATCTAGAATGAAAACGGGGATTCAGCCACATCCACCAAGTGCTGGGCCTGCAAACCTCCGGACAGAGTCCAGCATAGGAGGCATAACCACAGTGTGCAACCCGGGGGAGTGGCCACCTTGATGAAGATTTGGTCCCACCCTTGACAGCTGTAGTTTGATAGAAGACAGGAAGCAAACAGTGAGATGGGAAGCAAATATAAGCAGGGCTTACACCTGACACCTGCTCCAGGGAGCTTGGTCACTTAGATTGGGGTGGGGAAGACAGAATCTGTTAAGTGATGGACAGTAGACTGAGTTTCCTAACTGCGAAGGGCAGCCTTGTGGGGTCTGGAAAGACTCCCAGATCATGTGCCAAGCATGGGTTTGGGGAGCTGTGGGTGGGCTGATTGCAAATAATGTAGGGTGACAACAGCACCCAGTGCAGGAATAGTGGTCAGAGATGAAGCTGGAGAGGTAGGAGGGTCAATACAAGGAAGGTCAGTACAAGCTCCACTAAGAAATTTGGACTTTATCCTGAGCACAGAGAACTACTGACCAGTTTTTTAAAAACTGCCAATGAGAGGAACATGGTCAGAATTGCATTTTACTAAAAACATTGGCAGGATGTAGAGAAGGAACTGGTGGGGCCAGGGAAGGTGGGGGAGACGGGCAAGGCCGGACTTCACATGCTTTATCGGGTAAACCAGCCCTGGCGTACTGGCCTCTGTATCAAACCACCATATATAACCTTGTTTCTGGGAGAAAATGTGCTCCAAGTTCCAACTTTTGCAACTATCTTTTGGAGCACAACTCCCTCGTACACTGGAGACTGCATGTGCTAATCTTTCTGGAATGTTGGATATGTTTCCCCCAGTAGATTTACTTTGCTAATGGTTTTTGGCTCTGGCTGGCTTTCGTACAGGAACACTCATTGTATTGTGGGTGTCAGAGTGCAAGAGTAACAGCCAAGGTTGGAGGTGGCCATCAGGGCTGCTCCCAGAACTCAGGCGGCCACCCTGGAGGCAGGACCACACCCAGGTCCAGGCCTCTGCTCCTTCTCAGCTGGGATAGTTGATACATTCCCAGAACTGGCCACTCCAGTGGAGATGGGCTGATGGTAACCTTGTGTTAGAACTTTTCGGGGCTGCCACCTCCCCCATTACTGTCAGCCTGCCCTCTGCTGTGAGTGCACCAGGAAACAGGCCAGGAAATGGGTTCACAGACAATGGCCTGGCTAATCCGCAAAGTCTAGATAATCTCTGTGCCCAGACACCAATTTGAATGCTGGCCCCAGATGCTCACAGGCTAGGCCCAGGTTTCAGGAAAGCAGAAGACAGCCCTCCCCGCCCCTCACATGACTGAGGTAGTCCCCATCCCATCCCACAGGGTAACCCTTCGCCTGCCCAGCTTTAGCGGCTCAGACGGGATCCCCTATCGAAGCGTCCCCGAGTGGCTGGAGTCCATTCGCATGAAACGCTACATTCTGAACTTCCGCTCAGCTGGGCTGGACACCATGGAGTGTGTACTGGACCTGACGGCCGAGTGAGGACCCTGGGGACCCGGCGGGGGAGGGTTGCTGGGGTTTGAGCCCACATACTCACGAACCCCTTTCCTTGACCACAGGGACCTGGTGCAGATGGGGATCACGCTGCCAGGACACCAGAAGCGCATTCTTTGCAGTATTCAGGGATTCAAGGACTGAGCCCTCCCCTCCCCGCATCCTGTCCTCAGGAAGCAAGGATGGGGCCAGGGTCACTCAAGTCCTTTCCCTCAGCCTACCAGGCCTTGGTGCTGCTCCGGCCCACGTTTCCCTGAGGAACTTGCCTTTGGAGCCTGGGAGCCTCTTTGTTTTCAAAAGGGAGGTTGGGGTATAAGTAAAGTCATCGTGCTGGGAGGAGGGGTTTAATATATATATAGGTACACACATATATATTTTTATAAGTAAACAGGAGCTGAATTTTCACCTGGACCCCTGGTTTTTTTTAATCCCTCAGTCTCCTCCATCTGTAGCACAAGAGTCAACTGCTAAGAATTCTGGAAAACAAGGTTTTTTATTTGTAGCTGTAACCACAACCTGGCAGCACGGTAGCAGGTAGGAACGTCCAGGTCCAGGCTAGTCAGCCCAGCCCAGCCCAGCCCA